CAAAGTTTTCGATAACAGGCGCCACCCGTGGAGCCTCAGGCGAATGCCCTGGACGACTCTCCGCCGGACGAGGATGGCGTCTCTCCGCCCCACCGCTTCTCCTCCCAGACGGGTGCGCCCCACCGGCCGCCCCAGCGGCTGCCCCAGCGTCTTCCCCAACGGCCCCACGGCCCCGGCGCGCTGCACCGGCCCCAGCTCGGCCTCCAGGTGAGGGACAAGTCGGACACGAACTCTTCTGGGTTGTTTTTAAATGACGCGATTTTCAAGCATCTTATTTAGCATATTGAGCGTTTCCGTCCCATACACCACGCGTACTTTATTTTGGTTACACTGTACCGCATGCAGGCGTGCGGGTGGGCTTGCCTTCCGTCTCTTACCGTGGCGCCCTATAAGGCCGAGCGAGTACGCAACCCACCCACCCACACGCCTGAACGCGGAACAGTAATAACCAAACTAAAATACGAGGTCTGTGGGTGGGACACCTACGACAGTACAGCGCTTTTATCAATAAGGAATGTGTGCGCCCTGCCCGCTTTTTTTCCCCCCAAATAAGCCATTAAATTGTGTCGCCCCCCAGTCGTTCCAGCCCGCCAGTCGCGAGGTGGAGGACGAGGCCGCCGACGCGCTGCAGCAGGAGCAGGGTGGAGGGTCTCGCGAGGCGCCCGCCGCGCCCGCCCCGATCGGCTCGAGGGCCTCCCTGAGGTCGCGGGGCTCGTCGCCGTCCCCGCTGCCCGCGCCGCGGCCCTCGCTGCACCGCTTCGCCACCCTGACCCGCGACAGACGCGTGAGTAGCACATCTCGTGGCTCCAGTCCCAGGAGGAGAGTCTTTGTGTGTGTGTGTGATTATATCCGTCCTTTCCCATCCATAATCTATACATGACGTAGGTAACGCATGGTGTGCTGTGTGTGTGTGTGTGTTGGTGCGAGCGCGTGTGCGCGTGAGGGATGTACAGTGTACAGAGGTGGTGGTGTGCCCGCAGCCGGAGGCCGTGACGCTGCCGGCGCCGCAGCCCCTCAGCGCCGCCGGCGCCGACCTCCTGGACTCGGCCGAACGGGAACAGGCGACGACGGCGCCGAGCTTCAGGCCCGGCCCGGCCCCCGCCCACGCCCACCATCGCTTCAAGCCCATCACCTCGTCCACCGTGCCGCCCCCGCCCACCACGCCCTTTGTGCGCAGCTTCAGCCCCCGGAGCAAGGTGACCAGGTCGCCGCCCACCGCCGAGGTAAGTGCGACAGCTGGGACTGCGTTTTTCGTCAGAGTAGTGATGCAACAAATTTCGACGAAAGAAATAGTGAATGCTTTGGAGGTGTTCTTCTTTATGACGATCAATAACCGAGCACCACTTTTTTCTGCCCGCAGGACGAGACGTCCACGGTCCCCGCCCTGGCCATCAGTCGCAGCAAGTACGCGCGCCGGCCCGGACCCGCGGCGTCGCTCCACCGCCTCGCCGTCAGCCCGCGGCCCACCGGGGACGACGCGCCCCGCGACCCGCCCAGCGCCGCCAGGACGCTGGCGCGCCGCCCGCGCCCCGACCTGGACCTGAAGGCCGAGGCCCGCCTCGAGCCCAAGCAGGAGGCCGTCAAGCGCGAACGCTACAAGGTGTCTGCCGGGGCGCTGGCCGGCGCCAAGAACCGCCTCAAGCTGCTCCGGCCCACGCTGGCGTCCGCCGAAGAGGTTCAGGATCACGACGAGAAGACGAACGAGGCCCTGGACGACGTGCCGGAGTCGGCGGCGGCCTCGAGCAGCCTCGCGCCCCCGGTGTCCGCGGAGCAGAGCAGCACCGAGGTGAGGAGGGCCCGTCCGGTTCACGTTTATGCACATCGACACGACGGTTACCATGGCGACCCGATACCTGATCAATGCCGATTTTTTTTTCAGGCCTCGTCCTCGGAGTCTCTGCTGGCGTCGTCTTCCACAGAGGCGGTGGAGGAGATCGCCCCCACCGTCGTGCCGAGCACCTCGAGCCGTTCGCCCCTCGTCGGTCGCCCGCGGCCAGCGTACGTCCCCCTGCGCAGACCCAGCACCAAGGCGCCGCTGCTGCTCCCGGCGGCCTCCACCGCTGCCACGCTGAGGGCGTCGCCCACCACGGCCTCGCGGTTCAGCGCTCGCTTCACGGCCTCTAGAGGCCAGCGACGAGGACTGTCCACCGCTGCCTCTCAGAAGACGGAGACGGTCTACATGGGGCCCGACATATCGTCACCCACAGCGCCCACCAAACTCTTCGTAAGACCCGCCACGGTGCCGAAATTGGGGTGGTTTGTGTGCAATAACCCTTGCTCTTGAGGTAATTTTGGTTGTTTGCCCTGTTGCTTAGCCCGCCACGGCAGTCCCTCGACACCGGTTCAGCTCCCGCTTCAAGAACACGGACTACATCTTCGCGGCAGTGGTGCTCCCGCCGGCCCCGCGCGGCCTCGAGGACGACGACGACGAGGACAGCACAGAGGAGACCACGGCGACGACTGTAAGCTCACACCCTCTTCTCGACACGTTTCGTGTATAGCAGTTTACATTGTTTACGTAAATATTGTAGCAAATATTCATCGTGAATTCTTCCAAAGCTATTTCACACAACGATCTCTTGTGCATAGATACTTTGTATAGCACCGTTACTTTCCAATTCGCCTTTTCTCTGGTAAATTTTCTGTTCTATTTTATTTATAGGGAACATCTTTTGTGTATTATATATTTAAATTGGTGCTTAGATATATATTAACTTCTTTTTAAGCTAATCGTGATCTGAAAATAACAGATTATAAGACGCTTGAAAAAGGGCTTGAACATTTCTACTCTGGCTCTTATATTTCACATACTTTCTCTTGACTACAACATAATCTAGCTGCATACCTATCAGCGACGTTCGTTCAATGTCGATCTGTTATTTTTCTTATGACACTTTATGTACATTTCATTTATTTCCTTTTTCCTATTTCTGAAAAGTACTATTGTCCCATGTGCTTTTTATCCAAGCTTGTATCCCGCACCTTCATTCCATATGAAACCTGCATGTACTTTAAAGCTTCTCTTTTCTGTTTTCGCTCTGTTTGGAATGCCTTTTATTGGGGCTAGAAATCACTTTGATTTTTCACAGTTGCAATGCAAGTCAGGTACCGCGGAATTTGTTTACAAATTGTAGCTTAAGCTCCTAAATATGCGTTTTCTTCCTTGATGCACATTCTTATTTTTCGATGGACATGGTTCCTTTCGCCGGGGAAGTGCAAAGTAATGCATGTTGTGACTTTGCGGGGCAGCTGTTCATGAATGCTGTATCGTGCTTTCTTGCAGGAGCAGGCCTCTTCAGACTCTTCAGACTCTTCGTCTCCTACTACTCATGACCCCTTTGCGCACTTTTTTGACAGTTCTAACTTCGACGACAGCACCGAAGACTTAAATTCTGACGATCCCTTTACATCTGAGAAACCTTCCATTGTTCATAACGAGGTAGACGTGCTGTCAGATAGAAAGGGGAAATCGTTTGATCCAATGCCAGATGTGCACATGACTAGCTTTACAGAGACAACTGTTGATACCTTTGCTAGCACTTTAGAAAATTTAGCCGGTCCAACAACACTAAAATCAGTTACCACTGTCGACCCGAATGATAACATCACTACAGATGCCCCTGGGGATTCAACAACAACGCCTGAAAACGATTTTACGTCGCCCGCGGTGGAGCCGGTTAGTACAATGACTAGCTACGACCCCCCTCCCACCACTTCGAAATTTTTACGAGAACAGAGCGCAACACATTTTCCTGTAACCGAAGAAGCTCCCCTACCCTCCACGACGGATCCACCCCTAGCAGTAACTACAACTGTTGACCCTGTGTCCGCTGCAACAGAGTCACAGCAGGCGCCCGCAAAGCTTGATAGTTATGACCTGTCCTCAAAAACTGAACCTTCAGAAGGAACGACTCTTTCCTTGCTGCCCATTACAAGCGAGTATTCTCCATCCACCGTGGAGTCCACCGAATTTACCACCGACAGTTCGACCTCCACGACTGGGGTGTCTCGTGAAACCACATTTTCTCTCGCGTCAACTTTATTACCTACGTTCGTCACGACCACTCAAAACGATGAAAACCACGAGAGAGAAATGCCGTTTGATCCGGAATCCAGTACGGTTTCAATTAGTGACGGCTTGACAACCGCTTTTGATAGGAGAGCATTCTCTCTTCAGGTTGACAGTCTTGTGAAGTTCACCACTGATGCTCCTGAACAGACAACGGTTCTTCCACCAAGCACGACTGAGATAGATCTTACCACTCTTTCCTTGTCCGACACAAGCCCTGCAAGTGCTGTTCCGATTACAACGACAATGGACCGAGTCGTCCAAAATAATTCCGAGTTCCTTGTAACATTTAACCCGACTGTGGAAACCACAACTAGCACTTTGTTAGCCGTGACCTCGACGGTCACCCCGCAAACTGACGATCTTTCCACGTATCCCACTTTGCACAACCGCGCCGAGGTCGTTACAGCCGTCCCTACACACAACCCAATCGAAACTCACGCAGAAACAACAAATTTTCCTTCGTTTGAACGATTTAACGTGGAGTTGACATCGACTTCTTCCCCAGAAACAACTGCACCTCCCACCTCTACCTTGGCTGCCCTAACCACCACTCGGATACCTGAGCCTTCTACGGTTTCAAACCCTTTCGATTTTGATGGCAAGAACCAGTCGTTTCCTCCCATAACTATGCCCGCCGAGGACCACACGGTCCCTTTTGCTTCCACCACATCTGGGGACGGTGCTTCGACCACGGTAGTACCCTTTGTTGAGAGTACCTCTTC